GTGGGGTCAGCAGTGGGCTTCTGGGCTGTGCTGGGGTACATTGGTCTCCTCTCTGCCCTGTGCTTTGTACTGGCTTTTCTGGCCAGGAAGCTGCCGGACAACTTCAATGAAGCCAAATTCATCACCTTCAGCATGCTCATATTCTGTGCCGTCTGGATCACCTTTATCCCAGCCTATGTCAGCTCACCTGGGAAGTTCACTGTGGCCGTGGAAATATTTGCTATTTTAGCATCAAGCTCTGGTTTACTCTTCTGTAATTTCATACCAAAATGTTACTTCATAATATTTAAACCTGAAAAGAACACCAAAAAGGCTTTAATGGGAAAAGCATCCAAATAAATATCAATACATGATGCACACCAGATGCAAGGTTTTTCAAATGAGCAAATGATGTTATTCAGAAAATATGTTTTTCTACTTATAATTTGGGTGCCTGGCGAATATTTACAAATTTATAAACTTGTTTACTTATTTTAATTATGTTAATATAATCTATTAAAATTTGCATGGATTTTAATTACGGTTTAAATATGTAAAGCATTTAAATATCTAGCTCAAAGGTCCCTCCCGGAATTTGCCAATTTCAACATGTGTTTGTATCATTAAACATTGTGCTGCTGGCTGCTTAATATTATTGCATGGAAGAGTGACTCTACTGATTATCCTACCACTCTGGAATTTGTCAGCTAAATACAAACACTTGATTATTGTTCTACACAGGCAGCAGCTAAAGTATGTTATGTATACTTAGAGGTGCAAAAAATATTAAATAATGGTAAAATATTAAAACAATGAATCATTACAACTGGCAAAATCATTCAACTGAATCTAACCTGCATTACATGATATATTTTGTTAGCAAAGTGCTTCTTTTCACAGTAAAGTTTAAAAATACAGGCTACCAAGAGAAAAACACCGTGATTCTGATGAGCATTTCTTTGTTTGCAACTACAAGTTCTCTCTCCCGGAGGTGCCCCCTCAGGGAGCATGCTCTAAACACTGATACAGCAGTGGATAGAACCCATCTGGAAGAAAGATCACCGACCTAACAATAGCTCCTAAAATGACAGAGACAGACTGAGTGACAGAACTATGGAAGTACATTTGCATTGAAGCCTCCTGCCTACATAGTTAAACACAGGCTGTTAATAAATACTTGTGTCTATCTCACAATGTTACATGTGATATAGAAAAAATTAAATAATACAAATAAAAACGTAAAACAATTGACTTGTTTTTTTCAGACTGCAAGGTCACAAGTGCAAAAATGTTCAATAACAAGGGAAGACAGTTGCGGTCTTTGCCTAAATACTGTTATGCGAACGGCTATTTGAATCAACAGCATAATATTCAATTAGTGTAATAACAGCATAATCTTGCTTTGTGTGAGTGGAATGATGACCATGCCAACGGCATATGTTAATGAAGTACATTAAATGTTTTTTGTTTTTGGCCAGTTTTCTTATATACAGTAATTTTCTGTTCATGTTTAAGAGACATACAAGTTCAGTGTCTTAGCCAATCAGTAATTAGTGCTGACCTTGACCTCACATGTTTACACACCATGGGTTCCATGCAGACCAGGAATAGTAATGTTAATTATTGCCACCTCAATCATAAATGTACTGAGCGGACCTCCAAAGGAGTCCCATAAAATCATTACTATGGCAAAGCTGGGGAGGTGAATGTAATGTGATAACCTGCTAACATTTTCAGGGTCAGGTAGAAGCAGACCATTAGATGTGGAAATACTGGTTTACCGGTAGTATATATGCAGTCAACCAAATAGTCCTCTATTTTACAATTGCTTAAGTAATTAAAACTTCTGCTTCAATTTATACACAGTAGGAGAAGCAGAAGATTAATACACTGTTAATAGTCCTACTACTGTTAGTATAAAATCATAGCATGATTTCCCAAACAAACAGCTTGTGTCATTTTGAACCACGGCTGCTGCAGCTCCGCTGGGACAGCATGACATTAGTGCTTTACCTAAGGAAGACAACACTGCCTATCCTTCTCCTCATTCAGACAACACAAGTTCCACCCCCAGCACTATAAAAGATAAAAACTGCAAACATGTGACAGAGATCTGTATGAGAAGCTATGCTGCCCTGGCCCACCTGGCTGTTGCCCACCTGGTTCCTGCTCACCCCACAGGTGAGATCAGGGATCCTGCCATGTCAGCTGTTGGGCAAGGCAGAGCACCCACAGCTGCTAAAAGATGGAGACATCATCATTGGTGGGATATTCTCCTTCCATAATAGCTGGGTGGAAACCCAGTCCACCTTCTCCAGCAAACCTGACCCACCAAAGTGTAAAAGGTGAGTTGAGCATTCATATAATGGTTTTACTAAATTTAAATTAAATTACAAAACTTTTATCCATAAAACCACAAGAGGTGGTATTTTGACCGTATTTTTTTTCTCCGTTTGTAAACATTGTTACCAGAAAAAGAACAAAAATTCAGTCAGTGATGCTTGCTGTCTTCTGAACATCTTTAAATTTTAAGCCAATATAGGCTCTTATGAGCTCTCTTAAACCAACAGATTCAAAATTTTAAGTCCAAATAAGTTGAATAAAACACACACTTCATTATTAAAACATGGTGTTTTTGATATACTTTTGTTTGAAATCATATTTCTAACACTGGGTCAATCATTTATTTCCGTAGCATATATATTTCATAATTTTATAAATACTGATTGTACTTATTTGCAATCTAGAAGTGTCTATGCACATGTATATTAACATGGCCCTTTCTAGAATTGCATATTTCTAACAAATGAGGCGAACTGCCCAAGTTAAACCTATTGTAGTGCTTGCACATGACTTTTGTGTTCTCCCTAAAATGTATTTGCAACTATTTTTAACCTGAAATCATTCACCTATTTATTACTTATTTTTTCTTGTAGTCTAAGCCTCAGAGAATTTCAAAATGCTCAGACTATGGTATTTGCAATTGAAGAAATCAACAACAGCACTGATATTTTGCCTGACATCATCTTGGGGTATAAAATCTATGACTCCTGCAGCTCTATAGCACTGGCCATAAGGTCAGCCATGTCTTTAGTTAATGGTTATGACGAAACTATCACGGACACAAACTGCTTAACCCCAAAGACAATTCAGGCCATCATAGCAGAAACATCTTCAACACCAACTATGGCAATTTCAGCCTCCATTGGGCCTTTGCACATACCAGTGGTAAGCTTGTGTCATTTCCATTGCTTGTTTAATCTCCTTTAAAGACACAAAACCATACCTTTGCAATGTAACTGAGTAAAGGTAAGTACTTTCAGGGAGATACATAAACGTTTTGCATTTTATGTTGTTGTTTCTGCTGCAGATCAGTCACTTTGCCACCTGCGCTTGCCTGAGTGACAAAAAAAAATATCCCACCTTCTTCAGGACGATTCCCAGTGACTACTATCAGAGCAGAGCACTGGCCAAGTTGGTAAAGCACTTTGGTTGGACATGGGTGGGGGCTGTTTGCAGTAACAATGACTATGGAAACAATGGGATGGCCACTTTCATGAAAGCTGCCACTGATGAAGGAGTTTGCGTCGAGTATTCAGAAGCTTTCTTTAGAACAGACCCCAAAGAAAATATCCGGAGAATAGTGCACGTTATAAAGATGTCCACCTCCAAAGTTATTGTGGCCTTCGTTTCCTATTCTGACATGGAAGTTTTACTGGAGGAGCTGGCCCTGCAGAATGTCACCGGATTGCAGTGGATTGGCAGTGAATCCTGGATTTCTGACTCAAACATTGCAACTGGAAAATTTCAACACATTTTAAGAGGATCAATGGGATTTGCAATTCCTAAAGCTACAATCAGAGGTTTGAGAGAATTTCTTCTCAGTGTCCGCCCATCTTCCACTGTTCCCATTTACACCGAGCTGTGGGAAACTATATTTGGCTGTAAATTCCTCACAAGAGAAAATTTTGGATTCAGGGACGTGTGTACTGGGTCTGAGCGTTTGGATGACATATACAACCAATATACAGATGTATCAGAATTGCAAATTGCAAATAATGTCTATAAAGCAGTTTATGCTGTAGCTCATGCACTAAATAACATGGCAACTTGCACAGAAGGAAATGGAATAAATAATTTATGTGTAAAAAGAGCTGAAAACAGTGATCACTGGCAGGTAAACAAATGCTCAGTATAAGTAAAACTACAAGATTGCATTTTTAATTTTCATCATTTTTATGTGATTTGATGTGCAACAATTTGCTTATTACAGGTTATTAATTATCTTAAACAAGTTAAATTTTCAATGAAAACTGGTGAGAATGTCTTCTTTGATGAAAAAGGAGACCCTGGAGCAAAGTATGAATTGTTAAACTGGCAAAGTAAAGATGGGAAGACTGAGTTTATGGCAGTTGGCCTCTACGATGCCTCTTTGCCTCCCCAGCGTCAGCTCTCACTGAACAACATCAGCATCATCTGGAGGCAGAATCAGTACCAGGTACCATATTTCCTGAAAAGCCTGGCTTTGTAAGCAGAACACAATTTGGCTAAGTAGTGGCCCTTTGCTGACAGGCACTCTGCTCCTGAAGGTGCCAGTGTCTGTGTGCAGTCAGAGCTGTCGCCTGGGTACACGTAAAGCTGTGCAGAAAGGAAAGCCTATTTGCTGTTTTGATTGCATACCATGTGCAGAAGGAAAGATAAGCAACACAACTGGTATTGTAAGCTTTGAATTACTTATGTAGAAGTACAATAAAAAACAGAATGTCATAATGCTTTTGGTAAAACAAATACTAATATTACCAACTGTTTTTTCCTTATTAATTCAAAAGCATTTTAAATATGTCAAAGAAGACAGAAAAAAATCATAATGGACCTTGCAAAAATAAATTGCATTTACATAATGCATGTCATGTATTGTTTTCAGAGAGAAATTAATTTAGAGTTTAATCATTTTAAAATAAATGAAAACGACAATAAAATTAATTTAATTGTAAAGACTGATATTGGAGTATAAAACTAATTTTTTTCACTTTTATGCAGATTCCATCGACTGCATCAACTGTCCAGCAGAATTCTGGTCGAATAAACTCAGAGATAAATGCATCCTAAAAATCACAGAATTCTTATCCTTTGAGGAAATTATGGGAATATTGTTGGTCATATTTTCATTACTTGGTGCTTTTTTAACCGGCTGTGTTGCTGTAATATTCTTCATACACAAGGACACGCCCATCGTCAAAGCCAACAACTCTGAGCTGAGCTTCCTGTTGCTCTTTTCCCTGACCCTGTGTTTCCTCTGCTCACTCACGTTCATCGGCCGACCCTCTCACTGGTCCTGTATGCTGCGCCACACGGCGTTT